TTTTAGAGCAGCAGAAATCATCTGAAATAGGGCAACACAGAAGTATAACTCCACTAAAGCTTTCCCCCGCTTGGTCTCCAGTTAATTTGGCCTACATGATCAAAGCTTTTTTTCTCGTGATAGAACTTCAAACAGCTTGGAATCAGGATGAGATTGGATTACAAACGAAGGTAAAGCCCTCTCCCCTACTCTCCCTCCTTCTCCGTAGGTCTCCTGTTTTTCTCTATCAGCTCACTGCCTCCCCTCCTTCTGGATACTTACAAGTTTAAGCAAATCCTCTATTTTTGCAAAACAGGAACGTTGTTATTTTTGGCAAAGTTCCTTGGTAAAAACAAACCTCTTGGTTGCTGTATTTTCTTACTCTATATAGGAACTCAAAATTTTAATATCAAAAATGGCAAACAGATGTTCTCCGGCAACTACAGTGAACTTTTCAACCCAATACTACACTAGGTACAGAGAAGTAAACAAAACTGCATGCCTGTGAGGTGTTGTTTTTGCTATCTTGTATAATTTTCTGCTCAGCTACAGAGATACAGCATTACCTTATTAAAATCTCTTATTCCCAAATCAAGACAGAAAGACATTAAAAGCCTGTCTGTGGGTAATCATTGAGCTCAAATGTGGGCATCCTTACAGCTATAAATATAACCAAGTTAGCATGGAAGTTAAAATTGGCAAGTCAATGGAAACAAATTATCAACTTTGTACAAATATGAAATTAAGTTGGATTAAAGAACTGCCATCTCACATCTCAAGAACTTGCAAAACATCTTCTCCCTCTTACCGTATTTTCTTGACTATAAGGCACATTTAAAAGCCTTTATTTTTCTTTTAAAATGACAGGGAGCCTTGTAATCCTGAGTACCTTATCTATGGATCAATTGGTTAATCAATACTGGTTGTACTCGGGGCTCTGTGGAAATGTTTAAGTGAGACTAGTAAACTACTGGTACAACGCCGCACTGCTTGCAGCATTACGGCTACCTTACTCAGGGGACATGTATATAAATGATTTTCAAGGCGGCCCTTCTTGGTGCTTTTGTTTTATGAAAAGATGTAATCTCTCAATCCGCACACCAACTACCATCTCACAGCAACTGCCAAACAATGCTGAATGACGCCTCAAGCATAAACCATGCTTCAATCAGCCGGGTTGTTCGGTGTGATCCTGAGTTAACAGCAACCATAGTCAGCCATTCAGTTGGTCAGTACCTGTTAATTATTTTATCACGTAAAGTCTTTTTTTTAAAGATAC